CCCCAAAACCCCAAAACCCCAAAACCCCAAAACCCCAAAATAAACCAACAGAATGAAATTTTTAATATATAGTTTTATTTAAAAATGGGTTGAAGCGGAAGCACACAAAGACCTAAAGGCGGAAAGAGCCAGCCAGGCAAGAAAAATGATAAGCAGAATGCTAAGAAAGGGATTAAGAGAAAGAGAACCTGGATTAAAGGGGGTAACCCAGATGCCCCAGTCCAAGCTGCTCAGATGGAGGCATATGAAAGTGAAAATGTTCAAAATAAGCAATCAAAATCTATGAATTCAGGAGTGAAATCTTTTAAATCTAGGAGAAAACCAGAAGACCCTAATAAAGTTGCTGAAGGGCCTGCGAAGAAGCCAACTGCACAGATTGTAGTTTCAGATAACTTTAATAATGACGACATTACAAAGATTGTGGAAGAATATAAAGGACTTAAGGACAATGAAGTTTCTGGAAATAGGCCAAAATCTGCCACTCTATTCGGGAAGGACACTTACGACACTGAAGATTGGTCAAATGTACTCTTTGCAATTTATAACAAAGACTTGAGAGCCGTCAGATACTTTATCGAGCATCTGAGATATCACAGGAGGCTGAGCACGCGGAAAAGAAAACTCGGCATGGACGAGACTATTTATGAAGCTGAGGCTTTCTGATTAATCATTGCTATTAGTAATCAAGATCAAGCCATCCTTGATTACTTGTGGTCAATGAACGAGCTGTGGGATTATGAGCACCTTAAAGTTGTCCTCCAGGTGATATTTACCAGAAATTTATGGACTGAAGGAATGAAGATTCTACTTGGATCTGAAGCTACCCAAGATATCTATAACTCCTTGAGCTATGCCGAGAAGAAGCAATTCATGCTAGAGCTTTTCTACAGATACCTACATTATGCTCCACATGATATAAAGGATTATATTAAGCAAGTGTCCCTGGAGAGTCCTTATTCCTTAATCGCAATGGAACATATTATGACAGAAAATGATCCAAATAGCATTCAGTTCATTGATGATGTAATGAATTATGTCACTGTTGAGGACTATGCTAAGATGAAATATGAGGCAGACATCAACTTTTTAAAGGATTGGAACGCCATATATACCCAATTTATTGCCAGAACTGACGAATGGGTGAAAATAGCAAAGAAAGTGAAAAAGTTAAGTGGTTTTAATTAATCCATAGGTTCTTTAGTTCACTTGATTCAGAAATGGAGAAAACACCAATCTTCAAAACTAAGAAAGATTATGAAGAATTCTTAGATAAGATTGATTCTGCAGCAGAAGAAGGTACTATGGCCAAATTGGAGTCTTATGTTGAGGAGTGTGGTATCAGAAATTTACGAAGGACTCAAACTTCAAATCTGGTGTTGCTCCCAGATATGATTCTTGTTGATACATATTGGAACGCCATCCATATTGCCTTGTTTAAGGGAAACCTTGATGTGGTTAAATACCTTCTTGAGGAATGTAGGATTGATGCTGCTTCATCAGTAAGGCTTGCAAAGGACAAGTTAAATGTTGATCGTACATACTCTGTAGAACACGAAGCATTCTCAATGTTTCTGGCCATTCTTGACAAGAATCCAGAAACGGCTGAATACTTATGGATCGAACATGAATATTACTGGAACCATGACCACCTGAGAGCTGTGATAAAACTCATTGAGGAGAAGGAGGTCAAGGAGCTTGCTGGCACTATCCTTAATAACAAGACATCCCACGACATTTTTGCCTACCTCCCATTCGATGAGAAGATAAAGTACATGGAATGGCTTGCAAGCGAGGATCGGAAATACGCTGAAATCTACAAGAAAGCTCTCATGCAGAAGCCATACCGCTGGGCTTATCTCATCTTCAAGGCGAAGAACATCGAGGAGATAGAGGACGATGAAGCCAAGGAACTCAAGAAGATCGGTGACGATGTCAAAGAAGACGAGTTCGAGATCAAGGATCCGAAACAGCTTCGCCCATACCACACTTTCATGAAGAATTTGGCCAAAGTAGAAGAGGACGATGAGCAGTTTCAGATTTATAAATCTGCAACTAAAAAGTTAGTGAAGAAACCTGAGCTCGAGGAGTATAAGGCTGAAGATAGCGAAGAAAAGGTCCTCACTGAGATAGACGAAGAAGATGAAAATGGAGAAGATATAGAAGAAGACGAGTCTGATTTTGAAGACGATGAATTTGAATTCCCCTCTAATGAAGAGATCTGTCAGTGGGCCGAAGAAGGCAAATTAAAGAGGCTACAAAAAGTCGTAGCTCATAAAGACTTTATAGACTTCAATTTGATCAAAGGGTACGAGAACCAAGTTACTATTGGTGAAGAGGAGTATAACACTGAGCTATGGAACCCATTGGTGTTTGCTATAAACAAAAACAGGCTCAATGTTGTAGAGTACTTTTTCAATGAAGGAAAGATTAATAACAGACTTGCTCTAATGGATCCTGATAAACAAGATGTTGAGTATCATGAGAAAGTATTCTTTGACATTCACCCATCCTATGAACTCCATAATGTCTTCATCCCAATTCAGAATCAGCATCTAGACATGTTCAAATTAGTATGGGAGAACGGTAATACTATTTGGGAAGAGGAACACTTCGGTTTGGTGCTAGAAAAGATCCTGAATACCGAATGGATAGAAGGTCTCACTGAATTCATGAAATCAAGAACAAGCAGAGAGATTTTTATATCTCTTCCTTTTCATACCAGAACTATATGGCTTGATTCTGTTGTAAATATTTACGAAGAAGCTGATATCGAGGATGAAAACATCAAGAGTACCTTTTATTCCCTTATTTCAGAGTCTCCTTACAGTTTGGCAATGGCTATTGCTAATTTTGATGATGATGATGATATGAGCCAATATGTAAAGAAGGCTAAAGGAAATCTGAAGGAGCCTGAATATAACTTCATCATTTTCTCGGAAGAAATTGATACATATAAGGCAGCCTTTGAAAAGAATGGCTTGAAAGATGTAGCTGAAGAACTAGACAGGTATAAAGCGTTCATGCAGACACATTACAGGATCAATATTAATAGTGCTGGAGCTTCTATTCTAACTCCACATACGAAGGAAGTTGAGTTGTTTAAGAAGGAGCCAAGGTATGCTCATCTTAACCTACATGCTATTGCAATGACTGAGAAAAATAATGCTATATGGCCTCTAGTAAAGGACAAAGCAGCTCTGGAATTTCAAAAAGGACATAGGTGGGACTTGCTCAGTCTCGCTCTATTCAGTAAGAACTCTGAAGTGTTCAATAGCTTAATGAAGGATACTAAGCCACTGACAAGTATGATATTCAAGTTGGAGGACACACCTTTTTCTGATAAAAAGAAGAATGAGTATGTATCTAGACTTCAAAGCTTGATTCAGTATTCTGGAGATATAGAGGTGTTATTCAACGCCACTGAGAAGCACTCAAGCATGTTCACATTTAATGAGGTGTATTCCATGATCAAGAATATTCTTCAGAACGGGACTGCCGTTCAAGTGAAAATCCTGAACTCAAGGCTGGTAAAGTCATGGTTTGCTTTCATGAGTGACGAGTCTAAGATAAAGCTGATTGAGGAGATGTTCGACTGGGCTGACGAAAACAAGGAGACACACAAAGCTCTTCAGAATGCCCTCAAAACTCCTCTTTACGCCGAACATGCTAGTGACTTGATTCCATCTGAAAAAGCTGAAAGCGAATCTGACGGTGAAGGTGAATCGGATGAAGAAGGCGAATCAGATGATGAAGGCGAGTCTGACGAGGCTGAAAGTGCCAGTGAAGACAATGCCAGTGAGGAAAGTGACTCTGATGATGAAGAAGAAGGTCTGAGTGAGAGTTATGATCAGAGTGTAACTATTTCTACTTAATTTTGGAGAGGTCAAAGAGTTTAATATATCCTAGCAGGTTTAGGGAAGAATTCTAGTTATATTTTAGCTAAAATAGCAATAGGATCTTATAATTTCCCTATGAAATTCTTATTGATATCCAAATGGCATTTCCCTTATCCCACTCATAGCGAAATCTATTAGCATTATCACCTCCATAAAATCCCTTCCAGTGATCTTGTTACCAAAACCAATTTCCATGAAAACTTCCTTGCTTAACCAAATTTTTCTTATTTAAAATCCCAGTTTCTTCCTTTACTAATCGAAGGCCTTGCCTGCACCTGGTTGACTTGGGAAGGATCTAAATTGTGCAAGGAAAATTTATCATTTTAGAAGAAATTAGTGGGCCTAATAGAGTCTCAACAAGAGACCCAAAGCTCTCTGAGTCTGTTTCTAGTGCTTTTTGGGCTATGCCAGGCCTATAGAAGGTAGCCAGAGAGTATTAGACTTCCCATTCTTAGTCAATTTCTGCTTTATCACTGTTTTTATAATCCAAATTTGACTGATTTTACAATTCCAGATTAATAGTGCCAGATTGGCTTTTTACTACCACATTCAATATTTCGTGTTGTATTCGGGGTTTTGGGGTTTTGGGGTTTTGGGGTTTTGGGGTTTTGGGG